ATTTCAGTTAATAGCGGAAAAAAAGATATCTCAAGGAACCTTTGGAGCATTTTTTCAAAAAATAAAACTACCTTTGAAACGGTATGTAATTTCGATGAGTTTTTCAAGCTTTGCTGCATAATCGAGCAGTAGGTAAAATACACTCGTTTTCGATAGCGCCACTGTGAATTTCGCAACATTACACTGAAAAGATTGCCAAACGAGGTAATACAAAACGTTCTTTATCAGTGATGGAAGTAGAACACTGGACTCTGCGATGTGCCAGACAAAACTGTGCCAGCTCCTTAGATCCTGGGCTGCATACCTCCAGTTAGTATCCATCGCCTGTTCGACATATATGTGCCAGCTTTTCAGAGGCCAATTGTCCACAGTCTTTTGTGGCATAAATGAAATAATTGTTAAGTTGCTCATCAGTAAAACTTTTGTTGTTCATCAATAATTGTCCATTAGTCGTTTATCCATTAAGGTTCTTCTCCTACTTCTGAGAAGGCGAAAATGAAAAGATAAAAGAAACATGCTTGCAGAAACAGCAATATGAAAAGGCCAGGAAGAAAACAAAATCATACAAAAAGTAATCATAAGTATAGAATTTTTTGGTTTTTAGACCTCAATCATTTGAATGCGTAGTACTGAGACAAAAGAAGTTTGATTGAGAATCTGCGTTTTGTTGTTTTTCCGGTCACTGTACGGCGATCAGCCGACAGATAAGAATTCGTTTATTCATTTATAGATATGCACGACTAATTCCGGAAATTTAGGGGCCATGTAACATTTTTACAGCTTCTCTCCTTTTACTGGAATCGCTTTTGGGATTATATTGTAGCATAGTTATGTATTATAAACTTGTTGGAGAATTCCCAGAACTGCCTACACGTACTGGGGACAAATGCAGTGTTAGAAGTTAAGGATATCGTTTTCCATACATTATCATTTTTTGGGATATCGTTTCCCTCTGCTTCCGCAGCATATCATATATTCGAGTTAGCGGAGCGGCCTAGCACGACAGTGTAAAACGAGGGAGCCAATAAATTAAAGTATTAGTAATAACCGATAAAGGATACCGGAATCGTCGCGTTTCATTGATGAAAGCGTAGACGGCTTTGGTCATCAGACGAAGATAAAGCTCAACGAAAATAAAAATAACAGAGATGAATGCGGCCAGCCGAATCAGTAAAGGATCGTTTTCGGCGTACAGGTACTGTTCACCGAATCCGCCTGCATCAGCGGCTAGCGTAAAAGCCGCATTGAGTAGAAGTGCAACACAGGTGATATACTGGAATACAAGCTGTTGCCTTAATAAGCAAACACGCTTCTCCATGATTGCAATCACGAATAGCACCTGCAAATCTTAGGTTATGTGACCTCAAATTGGTATTTTTCAACACAAAAAATCCTGGATTCTGCAAGGAATTAGATATAAGCAGTTTCGGGCGGGAAGAAAATTTTAGTTTCATTCAAATCAGCTGATTTCATAGTCCTCAGTTTCCCATCTGATTTATCGCTATCAATTCCACATGACGTAAAATCAAAAAATCTTCTCTGTACTTGCCATTTCTGAGAGATATAAGCTCTCGAAAGAAAACCAAGTGATTTTTGATGGTTTCTTCCATTCTATGGCGGCTTAGAAGCAAGATGATGGGAGGATGACTCCTTAGTATGTGCAGTACCACTTTACCATTTAAATGAATGGATAAATAATGGTGGAAATTATTGTTCTACCGGCGGAATCGAACCCTCGAGCTACCGCACGAAAATAGCGCCAATTCTCATTGAACCATGTCTAGTCACATTTAAAAGTGTGCAAAATTGGAACCGAAGGTAATTTAGAAACTTCAAAAAACTTACTTTCTCTCCAAAATATATGCTAAGCTGTAGGAATGTAATGAAGCAAACAAGTGTCGCAATTGTTTCGCCTTCGGAGATGAAAAATGCAATCGCATAATGTATCGAATTGAGTAGCAAAAATACAACACCAAAACCCCATTCGATTGCACATACGACAATACCCCTAAAATAAATTGAATTTAACACCAGTAGTATTCAATTAATTGAGAACATCTTGTACTCTTTGCACTATCAGTTTTGTTGTATGGAAATGCAACATGCAGAATTGCTTTTGCTGAGGAGAAATAGTTGGTGGCAGTTTAAAAAGCCTAGCAAAAGCTTTTTAATAGGAGCCAACAAGCTGCAGTGCACTTCCCACAAAGTACTGCAATTCTTTCGTAAGCGATTTTGTCAAAACAATATCTGCTAAAAAGAGATGCTGGGCATGTGGAAAGAATGAGAGACAACAGAAGGACAATGTGGATTATTGAATGCAACCCCTACAACGTTAAACTCACACAAGAAATCTAACAGCACAACAGAATGATTCATCAACTGGGCAGTATGGTTGCGAAAACACAAAGGAATTTAGAAGCTTTCAGGTGTAGCATTAAATACGAGAAGGAAAGCAAAACTTTAAAATGAAGCGAAATTCAGTGGTAAATAAGCACAATTTTCTTGAAAATCTAGTACCATGATCGAGTGGCTGGCACGGGTTCTTTTTTCCAGAAAAATGGCATCTGGAACTTTGGATCCTGTTCCGTGAATCTACCTGGTCCAACAAGCTCTCGCACTTCGATTGGACAATTCGGTGGCCATTCAAATGTTATTTCTGGAAATGATTTCTTTTGGCGGTGATTTAACCAGAAGTAAGACAGAATATGGACTTCTTACAGAATACCAAAGCACTTACTTATAAATAGCAGTGCCAATCAAATATACGAAGAAATGTATGACACCTCGTGTGGTCGCCGAAGAGGTTTTGTACATACATCGAACAGCGGTGGATACTAACTTGCGTCAAAATTAATAGCTCGGAATCACAAACAGTAAGGTTTTGGCGTCAAAATTAATATATCAAACAGTAATGCAATGGACACTTCTAATAACTAGACCCCCTTAACACAGTTCCACAGGTATCAGCTGGACAAAGTTGCAAAAGCGCTCGCTGGGCAGAACTGCACAAGCGTTCGCTGGACAGAGTTGCGAAAAAAACATGATCGCACCAGCTTCCGCTATTTATTAACACTTAATCTCAAGATCATACTCAGAATAATCGTTAATTTCAAAATTTTCGAATTTTGATTAACGCAGGGATGTTGGCAGGAGAATGAAATCACCAGCAGACTGATCACCAGGAAATGGAGCACTGGTCAGAGTAGCTGGAAAAGTTGCTAGCTGCACGGTTAGAGAACAAATTTATGAATTACAGCTGATCCATGCGTTTCAGGCGTGATGCGATTTGACCCCCAATAAAGCCAAAAAGAAAATCTGGAATATTTTCGCGTACAGGCCCATACAACTCATACCAGAAGGTTTACAACTTGATCAATGAAATGCACATGTGAAAAAAGAAAAAAAATACCTGATTTGTCGGAGAGCACTTGCCAGGTTCGTTCGGCATCTGCGCGATAGTGCTGCACCAGTTCTCGAAAACGCATAACCTTTTGCAACGAGTACCGTTGCTGATTGTTGAGGTCACTGAGCGGTATGAACTAATTGTTTTAATGTTTCCTTCCGACATACAACACACATACACACCGACACCGGCAAAATGCAGCGACATACAGTTCATCACATGGGTACAATGGGTAATGTGGAATTCACCACCTTCCACATTCCCGAACTGGAACAAAAAAA